CAATACCATTAGCTCTTGATTATATGCCACCTCCTGAAATGGATAAACATCGATCAATTCTGTTTGATACAGTGACTCTGTGTATTTAATCTTCTTTTGATGTTTTCTACATCATTCAATATTTTGCCCATAAAATCTTTCAATGATGCAACTCGAGGCTTAAATTTTTTCCTCAGTGTTTTCAGCTTGAGAAATACCTAGTGTGTTCTTCACTTTTGATTTTCTAACTCCAGGTCTTTGCACATTACACTATAATAATTGGCTTTGTCCTCTCCAGCTGCTCTTTGAAATCTTCTGTTCAGCTCTTTTATCTTGTCATTTCTTTCATTTGCTTTAGCTACTCTTTGCTCAAGGGCAGTTTCAGAGTCTCTTCTGACATCAATTTTGGTCTTTTCTTCCTTTCCTGTCTTTTTAATGATGTTTTGCTTTCTTCATGGATGAGGTTCTTGATGTCATCTCACAATTACTCTGGTTTTCAGTCACTGGTGTTCAATGCATCAAATCTATTCTTTAAATGGTCTCTAAATCCAGGAGGGATATTATCAAGGTTATATTTTGGCTCTCATGGACTTGTTTAACTGTCTTCAGCTTTAACTTGAATGTGCATATGAGCAGTTGACGGTCTGTTCCACAGTTAGCTCCTGGCTTTGTTTTGGGTGAAGATTATTGAACTTCTCCATAACCTCTTGCCCACAGATGTAGTCAATCTGATTCCTGTGTATTCCATCTCGTGAAGTCCACATGTATAGTCATTGCTTATGTTGTTGAAGAAAGGTATTTGCAATGAATAAGTCATTGGTCTTGAGAAATTCTATCATACACTATTCAAGCACTGTTCTAATAGTAATATATAAGAGCCCTGCTTGCATGGTGGTTAAAAAGCAGGATGCTAATCAGAAGGTCAGAAGTTTGAACCTACCAGCTTCTCTGCAGGAGAAAGATGTGTCAGTCTGCTTCCCTAAAGATTACAGCCTTGGAAAACCTATGAGGCTGATATACTCCATCCTACAGGATTGCAGTGAGTTGGAATTTACTCAATGGCAAGGGGTAAATGGTAACACTTCACTAGGTGTAAGGTGCTCTTATCAAGTAGGTGCATTCATAAGCAAAGCAGAGGGATCCTCTGCTCCACACCTGAGCTTCTCCCTCTTGGGGCCATTTCACAGTGAATCAGATGTATAAATGCTATGAACAAGTTCCAACTTTCAGAATTTAGGGAGGTACTGTTAAGTGCTACCATCCTGAAAAATAATGTCTACTAATGAGCTTACGGGAGCTCTGGTAGCATAGTGGCTAAAGCACTTGACTGCTAACCAGAAGGCTGGTGGTTCAAACCCACCAGCCACTCCTCGGAAGGAAGGTTGGGCAATCCTACTTCCATAGTGATACTGCCTCGGAAACCCAAGGAGAGGTCGCTATGAGTCGGGGCCGACTTGACGGCACATAACAACAACAACAATGAGCTTACAGGCCTACTAATGAGCCTAAGGAATTTGACTGTTAACCAGAAGTCTGGTTAACCTGAAGGTTCAAACCCACCACCCTCTCCTCAGAAGGACGATTGGGTAATCTACTTCCGTAGAGATACCGCCTCAGAAACCCAAGAAGGGGTTGCTATGAGTCAGAACCAACTCGATGGCAGTGTGTTTGGTTTTGGTTTTTTGCTAATGAGCTTATTTCTTACTGCCTGTTCTCAATTCAAATTACTCAAAGTCTTCACTATTTCAGTCAAACATTTTATAACTGAACACACAAAATCATCTCCTTGCCTCCTAAGAAACGAACTGGACCATTCACTGCAGCAACTTGGAGGATCAGATTCTGCAGAAATTTAAAAAAGGAAGGAAGATGGGGAAATTTACTTCCATAGTGATACTGCCTCAGAAACCCAAGGAGGGATCGCTATGAGTCGGGTCTGACTTGACAGCACATAACAACAACAACAGTTTGTTATACTTAAAACTACAGGGGATAATATTGGAAAGCACATGTTACTTTCCTCATTTTGAACTAATTAAAGCAAGTGTTAGAAGAGGAGAATGGGGAATGTTCCCTCAAGATTCCAATATAATATCCTATGCTCACCATTTGCACATTTAACCAGTGCCCTACATGGCTCTTACGGTCAAGAAAATTTGGGAAGAACTGCGCTAAATCCAAGGCGCTCTGGTGGCACAGTGCCTAAGGCATTTGACTGCTAACCAGAAGGTTTGGTGATTCAAACCCACCAGCCACTCTACAGAAGGAAGACTGGGCAATCTACTTCCATAAAGATTTACCACCTGGGAAACCCAATGGGGGTTGCTGTGTGTCAGAATTGACTTGATGGCAGTGAGTGAGCTCTAAACCTACCTCTGTGATTTTCAACTCTGGCTGCCCATTAACATCCATCTTGGGAGCTTTTAAAGAGAAAATACTGGTGCCTTGTGCCCTGATTCAAAGATACTGATTTACCTGTTGATTCCAAGTGTGACCATGGTTGAGAATTTCTGCCCAAAGAAGGACTGTCAAGACTTACTGAGAGCTGGACTAATGAGGCTGTACCATATTTCAAGGCTAAATGTCTAAATGTTCCTTCTCACATCCAATTGTTGTTGCTGCTGTTAGGTGCCATCAAGGCTCTGACTCATAGAAAACCAGAGCAAAGACTATCAGAAAGATGTTTACTTGTGTTTATTGACCATGCAAAAGCATATCTAATTATGTATGTGAAATTACAGACTACATCTGGTTACTGTGCTTATATGTCCAGAAGAAGCAGGGGCTGCCCTTAAGTGGTAACAAGAGATGGAGAAGAATGGAGAAGCATTCCAGATATAGGCACTGAAAATGTGGTAAATAAGCAAAAATGATGAAGGAATGCTTTTAGATGGAGTTCACATTTTAACACAGAATTAGAGGATGCACAAACAGCATTAAGATGACACAAAAGATGTTTACTTGTGTTTATTGACCATGCAAAAGCATATCTAATTATGTATGTGAAATTACAGACTACATCTGGTTACTGTGCTTATACGTCCAGAAGAAGCAGGGGCTGCCCTTAAGTGGTAACAAGAGATGGAGAAGAATGGAGAAGCATTCCAGATATAGGCACTGAAAATGTGGTAAATAAGCAAAAATGATGAAGGAATGCTTTTAGATGGAGTTCACATTTTAACACAGAATTAGAGGATGCACAAACAGCATTAAGATGACACAAAAGAAAGACATCAATTCAAACATCAATTCTATGGGACTACCGTTACTGATTCTATAGGTGAGTTATGTCTCCAACAGCCCCCATGCTCTTCCTAAACAGAAATTTTAATTAATGGTAAAGTATTAAGTTAATCTCTAAATGAATCTGCTAGACACTAAGCATCATGAGGTCAGGGTCTGTCTCACTTGTCTACCATTTTGTTTACTACCAGTTGGCATATATTTGTTGAATGAATGAGTGTGCAAATGAAACAATTTCTAATTGTTTAAATTTGAAACAAAGATGAAGGAGCTCTGGTAGCGTAAGTGCCTAAGGCACTTGACTGCTAGCCAGAAGGCTGGCAGTTCAAACCCACCAGCCACTCCTCGGAAGGAAAGTTGGGCAACCTACTTCCATAGTGATACCACCTCGGAAACCCAAGGAGGAGTTGCTATGAGTCGGGTCTGACTTGATGGCACATAACAACAACAACAACAGCAAAGATGACACCAAAATTAGTTGATTCATTTGTCAAAGTGACTGAATGAATAGATAAGTGAATCACTGACTAAGCATGAGCTGGGTACTTGTGCTTAAATGTATCTTAAATGTTTTCTAAATTCAGTTCAAATTAGATTTCATGACACGTATTACTTACATGGAGACTCACCTCTCCTGAGGAATGTGGTAATTGCACCCTTTTGAACCTTCAGTTTTAAGTACAGTTCTATGCCTTATTGGCAAATCTTCAAAAACTGCTATGCATATATGCATACATGTATACATGCACATATATATAGAGATAGATAGATGATAGAGATAGATAGGTAGGAAGGTAGGTAGCTAGATAGATAGATAGTTGCACAAACAGCATTAAGATGACACAAAAGATGTTTACTTGTGTTTATTGACCATGCAAAAGCATATCTAATTATGTATGTGAAATTACAGACTACATCTGGTTACTGTGCTTATACGTCCAGAAGAAGCAGGGGCTGCCCTTAAGTGGTAACAAGAGATGGAGAAGAATGGAGAAGCATTCCAGATATAGACACCCTTTTGAACCTTCAGTTTTAAGTACAGTTCTATGCCTTATTGGCAAATCTTCAAAAACTGCTATGCATATATGCATACATGTATACATGCACATATATATAGAGAGAGATAGATGATAGAGATAGATAGGTAGGTAGGTAGGTAGGTAGATAGATAGATAGATAGATAGATAGATTCCATACCTCACCACTAATTTTATGATGTCTGGTTCACAATAAGACTTTGGTGATCATATATAAATCCTTATAGGGGCAGAATCCCACTCTATTCTGAAAGACTCATGTATTAGATATGCAATAGGCAGTTTTAAATGTATAATACAAGACTTCTGGCTATATTGGGGTAACAAGGTTCAGAGTCACAAAGAAATGCAAGTTTCATAATTCAAAGGCTTCACATCACATTTTTATTCAGGCTGGGACAATTAGCACCAGTTTCCAAAGCTTTGCTAAGAAAGCAAAGTGACATGTCTCTGACTTGAGGTCTGGAAGGAGAAATTCTAAGAACCACTAAGTCATGTGCACATTTCTTAAAGATAAAATACATCATTCCCAGGTGATCTCTTCCCAGATTTTTGCGGGTAGTTTAAACATTACAACAGTCTTTATTAGAAAACCCAAAGTGTTTTATCTTGAAAAATCAAACAATTCCACTCCTGGGTAAAGGCTTTTGTAATTCTCCTTCTGGGAAGCTCCTAAAAGTCTAGGTGACATGAAGTTCTTCCACCTTTATGTTCTTTCCTTATTTGCTACCTCTGCAACCATCAGGCCTTTGGATGATCTTCTTGAGTGGATCTCCTCAATCGCAGGTCTGGGGTTGACAGAGGAAAGAGAAGTTAGTTCAAACATGCACTGCCCCACCTCCACAAGGGAGCAAGGGAAGACCAAGTTGGCCTGCAAGATCCCACAGCTTCTGCAAGATTCCTTGCCTCCTTGTTAGTCTTCCTTTTGAATAGCCATGATTGGATGTCTTCAGTAAATGCCATGGTAAAAAAATGAGGGCTTGGCTTGTTTGTTTCTTCCCCAGCATTAATTCTCCTTCTGGTATCAGCCCCAGGTTTTCTTTAGGAAGTCCCCTACCTCCTACTCTTACTCTATGTAGTCTGGTATGGTCATACCACCTGCATCCATAGGTGACTCAGATCTGCGTAATGAAATCATCACATTTCCATGGCCACAGTAACTGGCTCATGGGAAGGCACATCACCCTATCAGATCTAATGAAACAGTATGAGAATGCAGGGTCTCTCATTCTTTCCTAAGGAGTTCTGATGGTGCATTGCTTAAGGCATTTGACTGCTAACCAGAAGGTTGGTGGTTCAAACCCACAGAAGGAAGACTGGCCAATCTTTCCTAGTAAACACCAATCTAAAATATAAGAAACTGATAAAGCTGCCTTGCAATGAGTAGAAAGAGCCTATTTGAGAAAGGAACTACATGAAGAGCTGAATAGAAAGATAGAAACCAGGTTCTGGTGACGTTTTGTGAGTCCCTTCTTCTAGTCATGCTTAAAGCAACAAATATTCCTGGATTTTTGCTTAAACTAGTTTGGAATGGGTCTTGCATCTGAAAAAGTAACCGATTATATAGGCAATTCTGACTCTCTATCTTGAGATATGTCATCTGGATAAATTAGTGTCTTATTCCATTCTAGTTCAGTTACTCACCAAGAGTAGCATCATGTTCCCCAAAATGCAGAGGGCCTTGTTGCTGTAAAAGAGGAAATCAGGCAACAACATCATTGGAAGGGAACGTAGACCCCAGGTATCACTGCATAGCTGGAAAGATTTATGAGCTCTCTCACCATTTTAAAATTAAAGGGTGACAGATTAAAACCAAGGCTCAACCATAGAAATACCTAATGTATATGTGTTTGTGTGTGTGTGTGTGTGTGTCTATAGAGAAAGACAATGGATCTGTTCTTTCACTCATTTCACAGGTCCTTACTAAGCATTTACAATATGCTAGGTAATATATTAGAACCTTGGTCTGCAAGGATACAGACATAGTCCTTGCCCTCATGGAACTCACAGTTGGTCTTGTAGATCCCTTACCCAGACTGTGCTGACAGCATTAATTTGCACAGACAGTTAGATACACAGTAGTCCCTTTCATCAAGACCACAACTTCCAAAAGTAGTAGTGGTATTTGAATTAAGGTGGGTTTCCTATTTATCAGTATCTTCCTAGGAAGTCAGCAAGGGTTTAGAATTAGAAAAAGCAGGGTTTCAGGCATCTCTTATATCCTTATGGTAAAAAGCAAACAAACAAACAAAATCTCATGGTAGGAAACTAAGTTGACAGAATCTTTTTACGAGAGTGATATAATAGTATTTATTAAAATTGCCTGTAGAAGAAATACCAAAAATACACTGTAACAACATTTTTCATTACACTATTTTTAATAATTAAAAATATAAAAACAAAACAAAAAAACAAACCCAAATGTCCAAGATACAGTGTTAAGTTGGGAAAAAATTATGATATTATTTATATATATAGCATGACTTTTGTAAGAAAAAAATAAATGTCTTATTAGATGCATATGGTTTCAGATGCCTAAGGAAAAAGGTCTGGAAGAATATACACTGAGTCATTAATAGTGGGAAGAGATGACAGTGCACTTATCATCTCAGTGGGATAATGTAAAAAGTATGTGAGATTCACAAGGAATAGGGCTTTGTCTCATTCACTAGGTAACACCAGCACCTAGGACAAATAAGTAAATAAAAATACATTAATATTCAAAAGTAGAAAGTGAAGTCCCCTTATGCGACTACCCAAGAGCTGGGTATCTAGTTGCCTGCTGCACTTTTACTGAGGAGATAAGTCTGTGTCAGAGAGGTCCCAAGGTAGCCTCCAGCTCACCTCCACTTCTCTCTTTTCTGATGTAAGTGAACTGGGGTTCGCTCTCTTCTCCACATCCTGAAGCTTGAGCAACTTTTCTATCAGGAACATTTTATCTTTGCCCTCCTGCCAAGGAGAACCAAAACAAAACAAAAACACAGGATAATAATGGTATGCAGTTGAAAAGCAATTGATGGGAAGAAACTGATTTTTAGGCAGCTAGAGTAATGCCTAAGGCACTTGACTGCTAACCAGAAGGTGGTGGTTCAAACCCACCAGCCATTCCTCAGAAGGAAGGTTGGGCAATCTATTTCCGTAGTGATAGTGCCTCAGAAACTGAAGGAGGAGTCGCTATGAGTCAGGTCTCACTCGATGGCACATTAACAACACAACAGAGTCCTAGAAGGTGGATGGACAGTGCTGCCATGTTTTCT